AGATTAATTGTGGATCTTCGTCCCCTAAACAAGTATTGTTTGGAGATCCCAAAGTTCAAGTACAAAACTCTGAGCAAGTGTTTGGATCACATTCGCAGTGGTGGGAAAAAGTTTTGTGCTACGTTCGATTTATTATCCGGATATCACCAAGTGAAGGTGCGAGAAGAAGATCGAGACAAGATTGTGATCGAATTTATGGGTCATCTTCTTTGCTTCACAGTATTGACATTTGGATGGAATGGAAGCCCATTCTTTTTCACTCAGATAGTAGACGAAGGTGTTCGATTGTTAACAATAGAAGGCTATACATTGTCCAATTATTTGGACGATTTTATGGCTGTGTTATGTGTCTCTTACTTAGATTCCTACAACAAGCTTGTTCGATTAAGCTTAAGGCTGGATTTTTATGGATTTGTAAGAGAACCTTCAAAAGGTTGTTTCAAACCTTCCTTAGTCTTTTTATTATTAGGAGCATTGGTAGATCTGAATTGCATGACTCTCTCTATTCCCGAAGAGGGTGTGGAGAAAATAGTTGCTCGATGCAAAAACCTCCTATCAAAAATGCACAGAGAGGAGGCCTTTTCCGCCCGAGACCTTGCCAAGTTGGCTGGCTCTGTTATGTCATATGTACACTGTTTTCAACCAGCCTTAATTGCTCTCAATCCCATTTATTCAAGAATTTTCAAGATGGTGGAGGATGGATGGGATACGCTACACCGTGTGAAAGACCACCAGTTATCGAACGCATTACAATGGATTCTTTGCAACATCCACCATTGGAACGGTCGATTATTTTTGTTTCCGTCATTGATCCACGAACTTTTTTCGGACGCCTCTTTATCCGGCTTTGGTGCTACAATGCCATTATTGAATTTTACCTTACACGGCTCTTGGTCTACTTATGGCATGGATCATATGCATATCAATGTTTTGGAAGCAAAAGCCATTTTTATTGCCATGGAAAAAATCGCTCCCCTTATTCAGGGAAAGTGTTTGAGAATTTTTTCAGACTCTCAAGTGATAGTGTTTTCTTTGCGAAAAGGTCGTTCCAAAAATTCCTTAATTCAAAGGATTGTGGAAGGTATTTGGAGAATAGTATTCCAATACGACATTCAATTAGTTGCTGTGGAATGGTTACCGTCGTCCCAAAATTCGATCGCCGATCAATTGAGCAGGTTGAAAACCACAGAAGAGATGGATTTCGGAGATTGGGAAGTAACCCCAGAGGCATTCGAAAGAGTTCAACATCAATTGCAGGTGAAAGTTCAGTTCGACCGTTTCGCCAGCAATTACAACTTCAAGGTTCCTCAATACATGGTGTGGAAGAGGACCAAGAGAGAACAGCCCGCAGATGCATTCAGTTGCTATTGGCCCAAGGAAGAGCTAAATTGGTGCTGCGTGCCGTTCAGCATTATCCAGAAGGTGCTAGAGCATTGCAAGCTTTGCCAATCTCAAATGATACTCGTTCACCCAGTATGGAAGGCAAAACCCTGGTGGCCACTACTGCTGGAAGGCAAGGTTCGGTCAGTACCAATGTCTGGAATAGATTTCAGACCCTCTCGGTCAGGGAAATGCGAACCGCAAAAGAAAAGCTCTTGGCTATTAGAGGCGACCCTAATCGACTTTCGGATGACCAACTAACATCAGTTGGTGGACTAATTGAAAAGGCCGGTGCGGGTCGTGAGTCCACAAACACTACGTATGACAGTTATTGGAATCGATTTGTTAAATGGTGCGGTGAGAGAAATATTGCAATACCACCCACAGAGATGGATGTTTACAATTTTCTGGTGTGTCTTTTTCTTAAATGTAGGTCCGGAAAAAATTGTAAACTGGCAATGTTTGCTATTAAGAAGCGATGTAATCAGTTCAAATGGATTGACGTGGTGGGTGAACATATTTCATCTCTAGTTGATTGCATGATCAACATGGCACCAGTTTCATACGAGATTGAACGAAACGAGTGGCGTATTATGTACATTGATATGTGGATTCTCGAAGGGTGTAATTTTGTCGACAGGAGAACTTATGTTTTTTATACGACCCTTATGATCATCGGCATCAGGTCCATGTTACGAGGATCTGAGTTGGGTAGTATTTTAACCTCCAATGTGGTAGAAATTAACAAGAACAACATTAACGGAATCAGAATTGTTGTGGAAAAAGTGAAGAATGATTTTAAACGAAGCAAGAAAGGAAGAGTCATCGAAATTGAGGCAACTAACTCCAGAAGATGTCCTGTCGTCTGGCTTAGGTTATGGAAAGTGTGTAACCCTCAAAAGTATTTGTTTGGTGATGACCTTCCCTTATCCACGGCTAAAATTTCGGACATTCTTAGATTTGTAGCAACCAGCCTTAAGATTTCGGGTTCTTTTTCTAGTCATTCCTTAAGAATTGGAGGAGCGTCAGAGGCAGCATTTGCTGGTTTCTCTCACACAGCAATCCAAGCTCTAGGTGATTGGTCCTCCAATGCGATAGATGCCTATTTCAGAGCTGGATTCGCATCTGACAAGAATGTATCTCGCCAGATGGGTTTTTAGCGGTATCTATCCGTTTTACCAACCATCTTTCTGTTGATTTACAACAAATTCGGTAGTAAAAGGGAGTTTTACTGAGGTTTGTTGTAATCAATAAAAGTGGTTGGTTGACTAATTTTTTGAATTTTCACTTTCAAAAAATTTACATTACTTGTGATATGGAACAATTATTATCAATTACTTCGAGAAAGGTGATAGAATCACTTTCTCTCAAAGAATTGAAAAGTACCCACCCTCCTCCCAATCCACCTCTGAAATAAACAAACATAGTTGTGGCTTTCCACAACTCCCTCACCTTTGGGTGGGATGCCTCATGTCTCAACTTGGGATGCCTTATTGCATTGCAATAGGATGCCTCACTTTAGTGGGATGCTCTTTGAACTGAATTCAGTCCAAAGGATGCCTTGGCCATTTGAGCTGGGATGCCTCAATACATTGGGATGCCTTATGATTTTAATCATGGGATGCCTTATTGCATCGCAATAGGATGCCTCACTTTAGTGGGATGCTCTTTGAACTGATTTCAGTCCAAAGGATGCCTCATGGTTTACCATGGGATGTTTAATCAGCGCACGCTTAATAATGTCATCCTGTATGAGACTGATGCATATGTTTGTTGCATCTATTTGTGTTGTACTCTTGCTGAATTACAGGATAGAAAAGGTAATGTAAATCTTATTTATTCAACTATTAGACATGCGCACGTACACGCGGCGAAGAATAAATAATAATCCGTTTTACCAACCATCTTTCTGTTGATTTACAACAAATTAATAAATTCAAAAAATTCAAAAAAATGATTCAATTGATTTGATACTAATTTCAAACTCTACTTGTTCATCCAATCTCAACACCTACCAAATCCGAATAATATCTATTTCTTCCCTTCCTCTCTTGTATTTCTTGTTCTTTCCAATCCTCTTCAAGTTGTTTCCGATGATGCTTCATTTTTTAATTTAATAATATCATCATGATGATGAAAATCACGAAAAAAGTAAACATTGGTCGGAGCAAAATATATTTCATCATTTATTGAATGTTCAATTTATGGGATCTAGATCTCCTCTAGGAGATATCTTCACCTTTTTCAACAACATCTGTGAATCACAACAAGATTAATGGAACAACCAAGAACATTCAACAATGAAACATTTTAAAAAAATGGTGGTTCTTCTTCATCTCCAAGATTTCCAGAATGCCAACCCTTCTCCAAACACCAACATTTTACATTCACTTCTTCAATATGCCCTTTCTCAACCTCCTCCATCATTGAAACATGAATTATTTTCCAATCAATTCGAATTGCAGCATACTATTGGACGTGTGGGCTGGAATGGTCCCATCTCAGAATATGAATTACATAATCCACGTGATATTAAAATTTCATACCGTCATGAGTGTATCATTGTGATTGAAACGTGTCGAGTGAATGTTCTCCTCATACGATTGGCCTTTTTTGATTTAAATTCGAAAAAGTTTTTAGGTGTTTTTGATAGTCCCAGAACTGGATATTTAAATTATTTGTGTGTTGAGGAGAATTATAATGAATTACAACAAGATGCATTGATTTTTGGATGTTTTGAGAAAGCAGGTGTTTACAAGTATGATTTACACACCATTATGAAATATTGTTTACATTCTATTCCTTTCAAGAATGAAGTTAAGGATGTACAGGGGGAAGAAAATGTAGTTTCACCATCACTGGATCATGAATACTTTGAAAAGCCTAAATGTCAATATTTGTGGCATGTGACAGATCCCATTCGTCATCCATGTGGAATTGCTGTATGTGAGCAAGAAAAGAACAAGCACTCTTCTTCAATGAATCATGTCTATGTTTGTGACTCTGATGCTTGCTGTATTCACATTTTGAATTCAAGAAATGGGTCATACATTTCGAAACTTGACATTTCCAATATGGATCCAACCGTTTCAATCAGTGGTGATCAGAAAATGCATCCTTTTGGAATTGCATTTGCCATGGATCATGTGACTGGAAATCAAACTCTTTTCGTGAGTTGTAATCCTGCTCAAATTCAAATTTTTGAGAAGAGACGAAAAATTCCATCCATTCGTGACGAATGTTTGAATTGTTTTAAAAACCACAAACAAGAAGAATGGATGTTTGTGAAACAAGTGGGACAGTCTGGAACACAGAATGGTGCCTTTAACGATCCAAATGCTCTTGCTGTTATTTGTTCCAATCAAGAATTCCTCATTTATGTTTCCGATTTTAGAAATCATAGAATTCAAGTCTTTTCATGGAAAGGAAATAGAAATGTGAAGGACACGACTATACCTCTAATGTCAAGCGATTGGGAACACGTAAAATCCTTTGGTACTTGTGGAAGAGGTCAACGTCATTGTTTATATTTTCCATTTTCATTATGTCTCAACAAGAATTCTGGTGAATTATTAGTGACAGATTCAAGTAATTCAAGAATACAATTTTTCAAATAACAAACGAGATGGTTGCTTGAAGAAAATTTGCTGAAAAAACAGAAAATAATTCATTAAGATGTTGATCCATTCACTTTCTCAAACACAGCCATAATAAATTTGCCGCCAATTTCTTTGAGAAAAAATGCCAGAACATGAAGCTTTTTGGGCCAGATTTAAAAAATCAGGAGAGACACTTGGTTGGGTGATGATCGGCACTGTGTCTCAAACTATGACTGAATTTGTATCTGGAACTATGTGGATAGTACCACGTCAAATAGATAACGAAAACCACGCAAGAAGTACATCTTTGGAAAGTGAAATTATGTCTAGACATTTCGAGTATAGTAAATGCATGGCTGATATTGTCCAATTTAGCAAAAAATTCAAAACCAATGATAAACATTATGTAAAAGAATTTCTTGATGGTATGGAAAAAGAAAAGAGAAGTGAAGAAATAGTTAGAATTAATGATTGTAGAAGCCTTACTAAAGATTGGTGGCGTTTGGTTGCCAAGTATAGCGAGCACTTTGGAATAGATGAGGAAAGTAAACCTAAATATGCAGAAAGATATAGATTATTTAAAAGTCTAGTTGAACCTTTGGATCGTCTGAAAGACCGGAACGACTTGTTAGACAACAAGTTGTATGGTTATGGCATGGACTTGGAAAAGATGACCAAAAAAAAGTAAACCAATGATTAATTGTTCCACTGTTTGATCGGTGTTGTCCTATTAATATTTGCATCATCAACAATCTTCGTTTGTTCATGAATTGGTGTTCATGAATTTTTGAGTGATGGACACACAAGCTCGGATGAGTAAACAGAGTTCTGGTGCTTCAACTATATATTGTTGCTCAACTCCACACAATTTCACTTCAGAAAAACATAACATTGTGGTTCGTTGTTGGACTGTTCTTTGTTTTGCAATTCTTTTACTAGGTTTCCCTCAGTGTTGTTGTGCCATGCAACCACATTCGTAACCATCTCTCTATGAAGTTCAAACACGAAGTTACTTGAAACATATTTCACTTTCAATTAATGTCGTTGTTTTGTGTTGTGGTTCGTTGTTGTTTTTTGTGCAACAACGTTCAACAAATGACCTCAATGCAATCTACAATATTCTTTCCAAGTTCTTTTGAAATATGGGCGTTTTGAATATAAATTGACCCAAAGCATATATGTCTCAGAGATTCGTTCCACTATAGCCCGAATCAGATCCGGAAGACTCTTGATGTGAAATTTTATGAAACACCCATTCTTTCGGAGTGTTTCAATAAAATTATTGTAATCAAAAAAATACCCCAACAACCACAAACAGCTGTACTGAAATGAATTCAAGTCGACTCATTTTCGCTGCAATTGCTCTCCTTGTAGCACTATTGATCACCACAACAACAGTAGTGAATGGTCAATTATCGACTGTTCGTGCCTTCTTGTCTGACTCGGATTTGAATACCTTGTTGACAAAGGAAGCTCCATTATTTGCACAAGAAATTGAAGCACAAAAGATTCCAGATATGCAACTGAAAGGTATGTGATCCGACAGTGTTTTTTTATATTTTTGAATACTGACCACAAGAAATTGTGATGATCAAAAACAATTTATGAATGTGAAATTTTTGTCGTCGTGAATCAAATTCACATGATGTGATCAAACCACAGAACATGTTTCATTGATTGGAGATGTCGATATTAGTATTACTGGAATTACTCTCAGTAATGTTGGTTTGGGAAATTTACAAGTTGGAATGACAAGTCCCAATCAAGTGTCATTGACTGATAATAATGCTCAGATTACTATTAGTTTGAATTGGGCTTATAGACAAGAATCATGGCCACATAGTAGGTGAGTTTTTGTGTGAAATATAATTGTTTCGAATCATACGCTGTTCTTGATCTTGACACTTGACAACAATTCTTTGCAAACAAAAATCTCAGTGGTTCTGGAACTGCTGTCTGTTCCACAAACACTGTTTCTATGGCTGTCACTATTTTAATGCAACTCGATGTCAACACTGGAAAACCACAATTCCAACTCACGACCAACACTATCGACTTGGGAACTTTGAACATTAACATTTCAGGAGGTGGCGGTTGGATTTTGAGTTTATTACAAAATCTATTCTCTTCACAAATCAAATCAAGTATTGAAACTGGAGTGGAATCTGCCATTTCTTCTGCAGTTGCTAATGTGAATAATAATATTCAAGCTGCCAATATGATGCCAGTATTGAACATGACACTTGGTGCTAATAATTTTAAATTACAAGTTGATTATCGTTTGACCGAGTTGACTGTGTTGAATAATGCATTTTTGGCTGTTGGAACTCGTGCTACTTTTTATGATCCTAATAAGGGAATTTCTCCATTGCCATTTGGACACGTGACACTTCCTAATCAACCTCCATCTCAAATTGATGATTTAATTGATGCCTATGCCACAGATTTTGTCATTAACTCAATGCTTTATGGATTATATTCCTCCAATCAAATGCAAACCATTGTCACACCAGATATGGTTCCAAATTATTCTCCAATTCAATTGAACACGACCAGTTTGAAGACCTTAATTCCACAATTGTACAATGCCTATCCAAATAAGCAAGTTCAATTGTATTTGTACAGTAATGCTGCATCCAATGCTAACATGTGGCCTAATATCAAAATTTCTCAATCCAATGGAGGAATGATTACTGCCTACTTTTATGGAAATATTGAATTTCAAGTATTGACTGGAAGCGGATCTGTCACCAATGCCTTTATTCTCTCTCTTGTTGCAAATGCTACTCTTGATAATCCAAAGTTAATTGTCTCTGGTGGTTCCAAATTGAATTTCACAGCACAAATTGTCAATCCGCAATTCTCAGTCTCTGTTGCTCAATCTTGGATTGGACCTGTCAATGTTGCCAACTTGCAACAAGTGATTCAATTGACCTTGATTGACATTTATTTACCAATTCTCAATAAGGATCTTGCTTCTGGAATTCAATTGATTGATTTCTCATCGTTATTACCAGGATTTAATTTGGTGAATCCAAATTTATTGTTACAAAATGGATACATGATCATGGGTGTGGATGGATATTATAGTCCTTCATTGTTGTTGAGACAACAAAGTGGAAAGAACTTTGAGAGTGCTGAGAAGATCATTGCCAAGTTGAAGAAGACCATTTCTATCCAATAAATTATTCATCGTTCTGAGAACTCAAGCTGCTCTCTCTCTGCCAGCTACTTCTTGATTCCAACAATGATTTACAACTGTACCACTGTGATATCTTGTAAAAAATCAATTTTCAATGATTTCATCATCTTTTCTTTCATGTTTTGAATGGATTTTGATTCCATCTCAGACTTCCAGTAAATCACAATTTTATCACCACCTGTCATGGTCAAATGTGATCCTGGTGACGGCTGGGAACGAAACACTTTAAACTTGAGCTCAGATACACTTGATTTTGGTTTACATGTGAAAATCAATGAATCATTAACAATCATGAAAAACACATAAGGTGCTGCAAAGATTCTACATGACAAAATAGTCGTCTGCGTGTCACAAGACCATTGAACTCTTTCACGAGTTTCTAAACAATACAGCCTGTGTTTGTCTGAAAAACAAAGTTTCAAAATATTAGATTGTCTCCTCGTACTTACTTGATAGAATTAATGTAGAATAATAACAGGAAGCAATATCCACAAAATGTTCATCACTGTCCAGCAATTCTTTCGGATTAAATTCTTGAAGAAAGTCTTGATCTGAACCCGTATTCAAGCAATATCCACAATAAAACACTCGATGATCATTGGTAAGAGCAATAATCGTGTGATCACCATTCACAGATCTTATAAAAAATGGTTTGGAATTGATCAAATATGGATCCAATCGACATTCTTTCACTTGATTTTGATTGATGCTAAGTCGATATGAAACATTGGGTTGAGCACATTCACAAAATTGATTGGAGCCAGACGCAAAAATCCTTCCCTTATTCGAAATAAAAGTTATAGAGTAAGCAGCACATGATGTGAAAATGATATGTTCATCCACATCCAAAATTGTTTTAAAATCTAGAATTTCGTTCCATTTCACAGTTTCGAGGTTGTACTGAAAATTACCAAATGACATTGTTGGACCATGTTTTTCCTCTGTATTCGCTGCATAATTTTGGATAGTGACATCTTTGGTAAACACTCGAGTTTTCAATGTGCGAACGTCTTGAACGACCAAAAGCAGCATGGCATAACCAGCGCTCATTTGAATCAATTTCTCATGCGGTTCTAAAAACGAACGTACAACATGTTCCACAATACCAGAATTCTCGATAATTTCCAATAAATGATTGGACTCGGTCAAAACATAACACTTTTTTTTCAACATTTTCATTTATGAAAAAATCATTGATCATTAAAAATAGCCATGAAATAATAAATTGATCATTAAAATTGATCATTAAAAATAGCCATGAAATAATCAAATAATAATCATTTGATCATTAAAACCAGTCATGATCATTAAAACAATTCTTCTAAACCTACCCGTGAAGTTCTACAAATGATACTTTTAATTCCGTAAATTCCTCGTTCCATCAACCATTGATCCAATAATGAATTTCGTTGATATTCTTGTTGTGGAGTTGAAACATTGAACAAATCGGAATGATAATTATTGTGTGCGATCCTTTCAATCTTGGATTGAGTCGGATCCAGTGAGAGTAAAAGATTCCGAAAGGAGTAGGGTGTATCTTGTTGTTGTTGGGACATTTTTTTTTTGTAAAGTTTTTATCGAATGAAATTGTTTTTCCAAGTTTCCTTTTATGTCAAGGATGGAATTTATGATGGCGTCAGTTACCATCAACGTTCAATCCCTTACAAAAAAAATGTCAGTGCCATCCTCTCCCGTTCCCAATCGACATTCTCACCTGACCGAAGATGATGCTTCGACCCTTTCTCTCGTCGACTCGAACGAAATTCAACTTTTTCGAAATTTTTCTTCATCTCCCAATTCGTCGAAACGTTTGACAACACATTCGAATTCTACGCATAACAACAACAACAAACCATCATTGTCATCGGAACACAAGATATTTAATTTACCTAGCGAATTAATTATTCTCATTCAAACGTTTTTGCCAAATCATGAAAAACAATTGTCTCGATTTATTAGTATCGATTGGAATTTAAATTATTATCAATCGGTGACGGTTTTAAACATGTCGAAGCGAATGAATTCTCGAGTTTATGTCATTGATTTTTTGAAAATGTTCTCTCGATTGCAATACGTGACTGGAAATGTGAATTTACAATTGGAACATGTGTTGCAATTGCAAAGCTCTGATTTGAGACATGTGGATGGATTGTTTGTGGATTCCATTCCTCAATTGTATAGTTTAATTCGTGCCTTTCCGAGATATGAAACAGTGGCATTGTGTTACGATATATTTAGAAAGACAGACATGTTGGAAACACAATTACCGCAATTTGTAACACGATTTATGAAAGACACTTTGCGAAAAATCACTCTCCAGAATGTCTACGTGACACACAAAGATCTGCTGTACATATTCGAAAAGTGTCCCAATTTATCATGTCTCGATTTACACAGTAATTTAGATATGAGATATATGGACAATTTCAGGGAAAGAAGTGAAAAAAGACCTCCCATATTTAATTTGAAACAATTACCAAAAGGACGTCTCACAAGTTTATCATTGCACGGCAAAAAATTCGAAGGAATTGCCGATTGTATTGAGAATTCACATCGATCTCTCCAAGAATTGACACTACAATGTGGAGGAGCTCTCGTTAGTGATTTATTGGGAAAAATGGTCTGTCTCACTTTCCCAGAGTTGCGAGTGTTGAAAATTCATGCCAGTGATTTACTGAACGATGAAGCTGCAAGCGAATATTGGATTGCACTATTCAAAGCATGTCCTCGTTTGGAATATATTGCCATTACGAAAGCATTTAGACAGAGTGAATTTGAGGCCATCATGATGTCGTGTCCCTACATGAAGAGAATTGAAGTCGATGGTTTCGAAAATGACGCATGTTTGGATTTGTGCAGAACGATTGTATATTAATATGTAAAAAAAATATAGTAAAATAAAGTACAAATTGCATTCATATTTGCCACCAGAAAATCAAACTCTGTATGTCACTCAAGCATTCAACAAGGTGGGAAGGCCACGCACGCACTGAAGTTCGGCAGCAGAATTATAAGGTAATTCATGTTCTACAAATGCTGCTTGCAAAAATTCACCCAAAATACTGTTGAAACATTGTTCCCTTTGGTTTGGATCCTTAAAATTTGAGACTAACAAGTTTTGAATTTCTTCTGATTCTAAATTCAAAAATAGTACAGATTTCAAGTTACGCAACAAGTGATCACTATACCATCCATCTCCATCTCGTTCTCCTTCCACTTGAACATTGTAGTTGTGAGTAAATACTGTTTTCATTGTATTTTGAATGCAAACTTGCTTTCTAAATGAATAGCAAAAATCGTAAGTTTGGCGTTCATGTTTGAAGTCACAAATGATATCTAATGGATATCCACACTCAAGAAATAGAGTGAATTCTACTCGAAAATTATTCTCCCATTCGCTTTTAGAATCTTGTAGTTTTCTAACGAATACTTCTTTAAATCCATACTGTCCACCAAATAAGTCTTTCAGAATACTTGCAGAAATGCTGATTTGAGGTCCAGTTCTATTGTCGAGGTTCATTCCATTTGTAAACATCTCTTCAAACTTGGCACATAAAACATGAGAAAATCTTTCCATCTCAATCAAGTTCGAAATTTGTTCCAAAATTGTCAAATCATGATTTTCTTGTGTTTGTTTCGAATATTTCAGTAATAATTGATTCACTTTTTTACGAAGAGCAGGTACACCATGCTCGTAACACAACTCAACATAATATTTGAAAATGTCTGAAATGGAATGAATGTGTCGTTGCAATGGCTCTTCCTTCACTGGCGTTGTTTTTCGTTTTTTTAATTTTGGTTTCTTTTTGTCTCCCAATGGTGGTTTAGCATTTTGATTGGTGTCGTCTTCAATGCCAAATAAACGAATCGCTTGCTGCAAGACTCGTTCCTTGTTTGGGAAATTCACCAATCCAAACACTTCCCGAATGTATTGTGCATGAAAGGTTTCCGATATCAATACACGATGAAATGTTTTTGAAATGAGCGAAGGCTTCATATCCAACCATCCGGAAGGATGAGTGTACAGTAAAATATTCGCACAAATCAATTCATCAAACGGTGATTGATTTTGAAGCATTTTTTTTGTTAGTGAACTTGATTTACAAAATCAGCAAATTGCTGGAGATGAAATTAAAGAACACCAAACTCAAACGTATCTTGAAGAGCAAATAATTAAAAATAATTTTATCATAAAACTTCTTTTTTAATATAATGAAATTTCAAAGAAACAACAAAAATGTGGTTGACCCTCAATTTTTCCTCAATGAAATTTTAAGGCAACCATTTCATGGCCAATTCCCAAGCCAAAAACGATGCTCCATTCGTTGGGAATGATCTCAACAAACATGGTACAAATCCACGATAAAATCCTTTCAGTCCTCCCTCTTCAAAATAAATCTTTTTCACACAATCCAATAAACCCTTATATTTCAACTCGGCTTTGGGAACATCAGGTTGAGACATGATTCGATTTTTCACAGTATCTGCAGGAAAGCAACAAATCCACATGACCGTAGCAGCACTTCCTCCCGCCACAAAATTAATCACACTCGTTGGCAATGAATGAGAATTCCAATTTGCCAATTTTAGTTTAAAATATTCATACGATCCAATATAGATGGAACAAAATGAACGAAACCATAACGTTCCAGTCATTCCCGTATAGAATCCAACAATACCATGATTTCTCCATAATTGTTTCATACAATCAAATGGTCCCTTGTATCGTTGTGTAGAAGCATCCCAATTATATTGAACTTGGAGTCGAGATTTAATTTGTTCAATAGGATTGGCTACGAAACTACATGCCATTCCTCCGAAAAATCCAGCAATGGAATGATCAAGAATGGAAAGTTGATAATTAGGTTCCTCTCGATGCATGTTTTCCTTAATGAATTTACGGACATAGGTCACGGTGCCCAACAAGACACTGTCCATGACGGACCATCCAAATAAGGGAACAAGAGCTCCCTTGTAGAGACCTGGAAGTCCTTCTTTTTTAGCAGTTTGAACGAGACAATCGATGGGACCAGAGAATTTGCCATGATAACCTTCTGTTTGTAAACGAACTGTTGTGTGTGTAAGGAGGTTTGTAACATGTTGTGTGTGTGTATGCGTGTGTTTGTGTTGGTGTGAAAATATTATTATTGTTATTGAAATCATTCATGAAAATATGAATGTGAAAGAAAATTAATTAAATTCATTATTAAATTCATAATAACAAGAAAATGAATTACCTTTCACAGTACTTGAATTTGGTGGTTATTGGTTTCAAAATTCATGAAAATGCATCATGATTCAACATTTTCCAATGTTTCAATAATACCTACTCGAAGGGATGTCCAACAACTAATTTAGCAACACCACTACAGACACCTGCAGTGAATCCTTTGATGTGTGCCCAATATTCAGATTCTTCATTTCCGTATGTGTAGGAATTACATCATTTTGGTATCATTTCAATGTGGGAATAGTATGTATCATTTCATCATCATCGGAAAGATGTCATCATGGTTCAGTAAGCCAACAACAACAATTTGTGTAAAATGATGATGAGGGTTAGTTTTCAAATCGTATAATAAAAATATTGAAAAGAAACCTACTCGGTTGTTGTTGTTGTGAATGATTGTTGATGGCCACTGCGATGGTGGTCGGAGTGGGAGAAGAGCTCATATTTTTTTTAAAGTTTGTTTTTTTCACACGAACCTCGGTGCCCGAAGTTGCCTCAACGTTTCTTTTTGAAAATTTATCATTTTATAATAACTCTACAAATATACTACAGGATGAATAAGTGATGATGAGTGACATCAAGAAAGCAACAGGTAAAGACCTTATCACTGCTTTTGGTTTGGATTGACGAAAAGTTGATCCAACCCTTTTCTACTCTTATCTTGATCTCGCACATAGGTGAAATTGGTAAACTCGGCACCTTGATTTTTACTCACTTTGGCCTTAGATGATGACTGTGGTAAAAAGGCTGTTCCAAATTCATCAAAGTGAGTGGTATCAATATCTGACTTGACGTCTGGAGTGAATGGAGCTTGCTTAGACCTAATGGAGTACCAATCTAAATCCTTAAAGAATGGATGCTTCTTGATGGCATCAACGCCTCTAGTTTTGTCATCTTCTGATCCCCAACGTTTATCAGTATCACACAATAAATGTTGCAGTAAATCCTTAGCATCAGCACTAACATTGATATCATCTGGAAATTCCAAAAAGTGTTTCCATCTGACAATCTTTTGACAAGTCTTGAGTGGATCGTCTGCATAAAACTGTAGTTTGAATGAAGTCATATCATCGTAATACGACCGGAAGTGGTTATTGTTGTGAGATGTTGTGGCCGTTGGTTTGTCACGAAACAATTGTCGAATTTTAAAATATGAATAAGGTCATACAAGTAGCCATATATACTTACTGGTGGATATCCATAAATCATTTCGTACATGATCACACCAACAGACCACCAGTCACAATCATATCTATATCCCTTTTTTAACAAAACTTCAGGAGCAATATAACCTGGCGAGCCCACAGTTGAATACAACAATTTTCGTCCTTCGTTTTTCCAACTTCTCATCTTTTCTCTTCTTGAGAGAGAGCCAACTTTATCGATAGGTCCTTCTTGAGTACTTTGTTGGGCTTGTTTCATTTCTTCTTCACTGACATCTTCAAATGGATCCTCATCGAAAGGTTTACAAAGACCAAAATCTAACATCCACCATGATAAATTGAGGAAAATGTGAAAAATTTGAAGGAATATAAAGGTGATAGCATTAAAAACATTCCCAAAATATAGACAGTTCGGAAATGGGTATGTAAAAGAAGCGGTAAGTATATGTGTCTCTCGCTCATTTCACCAACACAAAATCAACATACCTGTCAGTTTGATGTGTCCTCTAGAATCGAGTAGAATATTATCAGGTTTCAAATCTCTGTGAACATAACTCATTTTGTGAATGGACTCTACTGCAAGAATCAATTCGGCAATATAGAATCTTGTCTGTTCTTCAGTAAAGATTTCCTTCTTAATAAGCCATGTCATCAAATCACCTCCTTGCAAAAATTCCATGGCCAAGTACAAGTTGTCTTCATCTTGGAATGAGTAACGAAGATCAACAATCCACTGTTTATGTCATAATAATTACAGTAATGGGTTGACAATTAAATGTTCATGATGCGTATGGTATCAATCAAGAAAGTAGCCACGTAAATGTGTGGTGTTGACATTGTTTTTGTCATTATATACCAAATGAATGAATCGGAATAGTATTAACATAATAATGAACAAAAAGTCACAAGACATTGTTGTCAATGAATGAATGGACGGAAGGTAGTAGTAGCATCACCATGGCAATATGGTTAAATTCATGAGTCAGAGATTAGAGGTGAATGACTATAATTGCAATGTATATACATACAGGATTGTTGGAATGAGCCAAAATATCACGTTCTGCTCTAACGTGCAAAATTTGTTTCTTCTTCATCATTTCCTTCTTTATGAGTTTCTTCAACGCCAACACTTCTTTGGAGTCCTTTTTTCTAACTAACATGACTTCTCCGAAGGCTCCTCTACCAATAACTTTAAGAATATCAAAATCAGTCAGAGAAATTCTTGATTTCAATAGATCGGTCCATGTTGGTACTCCTTCTTTAATGAGTTTTTGAGAACCATACTTTTCCTTGAGGATGGTTTTGGCAATTTGTGATCTTGATTGTGTTTCTTCGGAGAAGGTAAATTCAGAAGAGTGAGAATCTTCACTGGTTCCATCGCTTCCGTTGCTACTCATTCTTGTTGATGATTAAAAAACAATACACGTTGTGAGAAGTGATGATGATGATAATAATTTATACAAAGAGAAAGGAATTGCAGAGTCTGTTGTGATGATAAAATTCTTCGTGTTATCCAACAGCACAATTTTTTTGAAAACTTTGGTTCTTCTTTTGTCTTGTGCCAACCAAATACAAAACAATGATGGTGAATAAAAGTGATGGTGGTCCCTGGAAGATGATTTTTTTCTTTGGAGAGACTGCTTGAGAGAACACACGCTTGAGATGAGATGGCTGTTGTTTGTAAATGATTCCTCCTCATGCGACAAATCAATGCTTTGCCTTCCAAAAAAATCGTTAGGTTTGTCAATTTCAACCGTTTTCAGCTTTTGAAAGGAAGAGTCAACTTGTGTGTGATTCAAAACGAAGCAATGGCTGAGTTATTTAATTTTTGGAAATCGATTGTCCCGTTTGTTGTTGGCTGGTTTGATGACCAAGAGTTGGCGAAAATTACCAGAAGACGATGACGTACTACTTGATGGATTAGGGTTAGAAATTGGGTTGGTTGACTCATTCTGTTGCTTGTTTGGACCTCCAACAACAGCATTGAGGGAGAAGTTATTTCTTGAGGAACGACTGGTTTCCTTCGCAGAGAATGGTCGCATCAAAGCAGTAGAATTGAAAGAAAATGCATTTTCCTTATCGCGAGCAGTCATGACAAGTTTTGGAGTGAGAGGTTGAGAGGGCGTGGTCGTTGTGGATGTGTCATTATTGAGGGACCGTACAGAGTATCGTGAAAAACTCATTTGGAGAGGGGCACTTCGAGGTGGCTTGGGCCTCAATTCATTGGATTGAGAATCTTCAAAATTTGATGTCATGGGCATATGAATGTCGAACATTTGTGAAGGAGGTTTTTGTTCAATATCGGAAAGAGTAGAATGGTTGGTGTCTGGTCTTTCCTGAGTATTATTGTTGTTATCATGCTCATTCATTCGATCGGATGTGTGTTCCAGCATTTCTTCTTCGACCGATCTGCTTGAAGCTTTGAGTGAATATCTGAAAATTGGATTGTCATAACTGTACAATTGTTGGAAATTAATTATTGTTGAGTAAAAGGTAAACTTAACTTGATCGAAATTCTACTTACTCTGGAGGCTTTAACACTTTTTTAAGATTGAGCTTGGGAATGTCAAAGAAATCGGATGGGCTTGCTGGAGGCAGAAGAGGCGGTTCAGTGCGAACTCTTGCACTGGCTGGTTCATTGACTTCATTTGAGGGTTTTGACAAGTCTTGTCCTTGGGAAGGTGGTTGATTCAAATTAGGTGTGGTTGCTGTTTGTATTTGTGAAGGATTTGTGGTTAGTGAGCTATTAGGTTGTGATGGAGTTTCTTCTTCTGTACAGGTAGTTTGAGGTAGATTTACAATAGTAGATGAAATGACGGTGGATGTGACTGGTTGTGGTGGCATAGCTCCTTGCTGCTGTTGTGACGGCATGGAAGGCTGTTGTGGGACTTGTCTACGAGGTGGTGAGTTTCCTGTTGAGGAGCAAGCACCGTGGATTGGTTGTTTGGTGAAGGGTCGATTACAACTTAGACATTTGTAACCGCTTGTTGTTTTCGTCTCCATTTCTCCCTTTGCCATGAGGAATGGTTGTGGGAGACCCATTCCAACAATTAAATCATCAGGTACAATATCTTTTCTGATAATGTTAATAATGTTTGGAGGGTACACAGTATGATGGGAATCAACCAATTCTTGTCTGTCGGCCTTATTCTGCAGTTTTTGTTCAAGATTCTTGATCGCTTCCATCATTTCCTCAGTGGTGTTCTTACCCAAAATGGTGTTCAATTTTTCATTCAAGTAATCAAAGAGGCCATTCACAATTTTTCGATCTGCTTTCAGTTCCATGTTTTTCTCGTCTGCTTTTTGTCTTAATGCTTCCCATACTTCCTCTCGGTTGAGGTAGTTGGAAACAAAATTTTGAATGCTACTCTCGTGTTTTTCAACATCAGTGACAACTTTTTTGATTACCTCATTTTCTGTAATTGAGGCCTTTAACTCGGGATATGTGACAAATCGTTTCATATTCTCTCGAATATCGTCGACATCTTCGTGAACTCGGTCAGATTCCCGATCCATTCTCGATGAGAGCTCCCACCTCACTTCATTCAAGCTGTTCGTAGCGTTCTCTGCTACAGTCTTAAACGAGGGAGTAACGAGTAGCATGTCAGTATAGATTTTCCTCAATTCTTGTCTGTTTTTCTGATTCCTCATTTTTGAATATCGTCCAATGTCTTCCTTGAGCTGGAATTTTTCTTGAACATAAGTATCTGGTAACTCTGTCACGGTTTGTTTGTCCAATTGGAAAACATCATAAATTAAATTGGCAACATAGTTGGTTTTAAGAACGTCCTTTTCGAGAAGTCTAAAATTCTTCTCCATCTTTTCAGTTAAATGTTCTAATTTTCTGGTAAAATTCTCTTCTGTTTTCGTGACTCTATATTTTAACTCTTCAATGTCGTTGCGCTGTGAGTCTGTTCTTTCCTTAAAATTGTCCATGGTTTGTCCCAATTTTTGAGAGATGGCATCAATTTTTCCTTGAAGATCGGTTGTGTTTGTTGAAATTAGCGTTCTGTATTCGTCGCGCAAAGTGGTGACATGGACATCTAACGTTTGAATGATTGACCTTATTTCATGATTAATTTCTCCTGTAGCTTCATCAATGGACAATTTCATGTCTTCCCTCAATTTTACCATTTGCCTCAATAATTCTTCTTTATCAAATTTCAAAACATTAATCATTTCTTTGGCTTCATCAATTTTCATTTCAACCTTCATCTTTTCCTGAGTTAATTGTTCTTGAACAATTTCTTCGAGCTCAGTAAGTCTTGTTTGATGTTGTAAATGCTCCTCCTGTATAACTGCAAATTCATTGTTTAAATTGTGAAGTTGATTTTTCAAAAAAGGGTCATCCTCTTTCACTACAATTGTTTCTTTTTCGACAATTCTCGGTGGAGGCGTGGCTGATTTTGTTGGCTTTTGGTCGTCTTGAATAGAGGGTCGGGATGGTTTTTGTTGCATGTCTGGACTTTCCCTCGCTCGTGTTGATTCTGGCTGAACCCGATACAAAGACGACGATGTTTTCGGAATTGCCTTTGCCAAGGCACGAATGTTTCGGTCTTGTTTCTCGACCGTCTCAAGCAAAATGTTGATCGTTGTGATGAGTTTTTCTGTATCCAAAAGCACGGATGATGAGACGGAGACGAGATTATGGCTTGAAAATTGATCTTTCAGTGCTTTAAAATCCACCATCTCAAGCATACCATCGTAATCTTCAGTCCATAGCTGCTGTTCCGTTGTTTTAGTTGATGGTGGACCATTGACGACAATTGAAATAGGGTTGGGATTGTTGGATAACGTTTCATTGGAGGAAGTGCCCACTATTGAAGAGCTCATCTTTGGGAATATGTAGAGAGTTGATGATGATTTAAAGTGGCGGAGCGAGCAGTGTTGTATTGAACAATGATCAACACACAAATGTTCGGAAGATGAATGATTGCTGGAGCAAGTCCAAGCAAAAGTGAGAGACAAAACCGTCAAGTCAATTGCCGTAATTTTTTGTTTGAATTTTGGGCGGAACCAAAGGTTAGTACCAAAAAGATGTTGGCCTTTACAGAAAAAAAACAACTAGATTTTTCATGAAATGAATACAATGTTTAATGATACTTCCATCTTTTGAAGCAGCCTTAGAGTGGTTGTGTTGAGCTTGTTGAAGTCTCAATCTTTTCATTTGTTGTTCATGTTTAACAACTTTAGCAATACAAGAACGCACTTGGATCTTAACCCCTCTCCTTTTTTTGTTCGAAGAGAGTCCAGAGAATAGGATCGATCTCCAAACGTCGAATCATCTAACGAAATTCGAGATAATGAAATGTGTGTCGTGTGGTTCTTTTTGTGATCGAGAGGGTCTTCCATTGAAATGAATTTGAGAGAGTGTTTTCGTTGACAAAGTGCTTTGGACGAGTTGAATGACTTTCTGTTTTTGTGGTTGGGAGTGGATGAAGACATTTTTCGTGTGGAGAGAGTATGTGGTATTTGAGTCATGTTCGTTTTTTTTTATAAACATGTGTTTACAAAGTTGAAAGGAACATGATCTTTGAGAATGTTCCTAGGACCACACCATTTTTAGACTTCTCAACGATTTTTCTATTTGGACTATGATCATCAACTTTGTTCTGTCAATTGTCAATGCTTGAATTCGGTCATTGTTTTTTTTAAACACATAATTAGCGAGGTGCACGATTTCATGATAAAAAGTAATGCAAATGGGTGGTCATGTTTTGATAATGAAAATCATGTTTACTCAAAGAGGATTCCTGTGGTGTTCTACAAATGTAACTTGGGTTCAATGACTTCGCTAATTAATTTTTCGGTTTGGCAATGAAACTAAATTATTTATAAATCATGTCTTGGTGAAATGTAGAATGATCGATTATGCCTTCTTAATAACCTTTCCTAGTTTCCATATCTTTGAGTATCTTTTCAATCTCAGATTCATCAAAAACTCTTAAACTTGGAATGAGGGTGATGGCTTCTTCTGCATCACCTGGCATTAGATTTGCAAGTTGTGCAATTTGGAACGACACAAGCTTTTTCCTGTCTTGGGAGTCTTTCAATGCCAAAGTTTGTCTTGCCAGTGTTGTTTTGATATCGAGAGCACTCTCGTAACTCAATCCACCTCCAAATCGTTTAGAATATGAAATGCTTTTATCGAAAATATCATTAATAAAATCGGATTGTTCCTTTTCCAATTCCTCCTTCTTTCGTTGGAGAATATGGGCAACTTCGGAAATGGTCAAGCATGTCTTATCTTTGAAATCACCCAATTCTAATCGTTCAGCATCCTCTGTATCTTCCATTTTAAATCAAAGATTTTTATATATTATTGTGTGATAATTATAATAATTTAAATAATCAATGATGATGAAGAAACGGTGTGATGATACAAAGACGAAGTGACGAAGATCACACCAAACCGCTATTTTTTTTGAAATATTTTCAAAACTTTTTTCACCAATTTCATTTGACCAACAAACAGCGATTCAAAACATGGTGTTGTTGTGAATAGTCCCTTTCACCCTCTTGTAGGTCGTGATGAACGATCTTGAAATGATGGAATTGAAATTTCATACAACTAGAGAATGCATCCAAAGTAGGTAGAGTTGTTTGATTCAGGCGCGCCACATAAAAAATTTGACGGTTATTATTGGCTATTATCCTCTTTCATCATCAGTAAAAGAGTGGTGAGAATCATTGAATTCAAAATTAAACACGATCGTACTACCACCACTTTGAATAATTTCAATTTTGTCGATATCACGCGGAAGGGTGGTGTTACACATATTATTGAGAGTAGATATTCGGAAAGTACAACTTGTTGATTCCGAATATTTATGTTTATTCTGTGCATGTTTTGTGTTACCATCACTCACTGAAAGACAAGTATCACATATTCTTTTAGAAACCGTTCAAAGCATTCAAGTTGAATAAGTTCGGTTCGAAATCATCACAAAACAAAATTATTATTATTATTATTTGGAAAATCGGATCGTTCAACATTATCTACGTTACTTTTGGAATTTGCAACGATGAGGAATATTAGGCAAAGAAAGATTGATGAAAACAAGCCTTTGCCAATTGTCATCTTTTACTCATTGCTTAACCAGGGCTCATCATCAACGGAAGGCAATTCAACAACATCATCAATAGTAGCGGAAGTAGCACCATCTCAATCAATCTCAAATCAAAATGGTGGTATACACCACAGCAATAGCACACGCAATCTGTCTGAAATGATGCTAGATAATTCATTAATGCTCGTTGGAACTCATCCTGACACTATTCCACACAACACCAAGGGTGGAAATGCTCATCATAGCAGTAGTAACGGATTTATTATCAATCATCATGCATCACCAACTAGTTCGAAGAAGAAAAAGTCAAAATTGCAAAAACGGAAATCCATGACACCGCAAGAAGAATTAAAATTGATTGCCAAAGAAACTGGTCTCGATGAGGACACACTTCAGGTATGTAGGATTGTTACATGATTCCGCAATATTTGAATGAACACAACATATCGAACGATAATACTACTGGTATTGCTATTGAAATGGCAATTTTACCATCAACATCTGCATCAATGATCGAAACACTACTGAATAGGTTCTGCTGAAATGTCAAGAAAACAATGACAATATTTCCCATAATTACACATATGACCACACGATCGATGAAGAAGCAGATCATGGACGAGGCGGTTTAGGTAATGCTAGGAGAAGTGGAAGCGGAGCAATATTTCGATCTTCGTCATCTTCATCTCAAAACTCGTTAATAACCGCTCCCGATATTGTCATTCATATACCGAATGTTAAAACAATTTCTGACCAGGAAAATAATGATAAATTCCTGGATAGCTCGAGTACATCATCTTCGACGACAACAACAAGTGCCTACATGAATGGACAACAACATGCATCTAAGATACGGGCTGAATTTTCTCAAGCCATCAATGAAAAGAAACGGAGACGAAAGGAGCAAAGCCAAAGTAGGAAGAAATCAAAATTTCAACAAACCACACATTATTTACACTATTTACCAAACCATTTGCAAGTGGAGAATGATACCAAATCAATTTTATATGACATGGAGGATGATGATTTTACGTTTTTAGAGAAATTCCATGAAAATTATTTGCGAACGTATGAAGAATGCTTTGGTGAAGAGCAATGCTTTAATGGAATTCGTAACAAAAAGACCATAACTATGGAGCAGTTACTGCAGAGGTGGCACGTGTCATCGAAACACCTGTTGCCAACACCGGCACAAGCATTTCAAATACTCGATGAGGACTTTTTTGAAGAATGTATTGATAGATTTGAAAAAACAACTGCATTTTCAAATGAGCTTTGCACATTTCGAAGTGCATTGGAGAAATTTCCCAGTTTGAAACGATATTTTTTAGATGTGGAAAATTATTTAACGCAATCACATGTGCAGAATAGTTTCATGGGCCTGAAATCAAATCACCAACCTCCCTCACCAAGTGTAAATTCTTCTACCATGCACAAGCAGCAACCAGAACCTTCCACCAATGGTAATCTCAGCTCTACTTTCACAGAAAGATATGCATCAACCCCCCAATTTTCTAAATTGTATTCTTCCTCACCATTCCTGCACTTCCTCAAGAATGACTCTGATTCGCGCTATAACTTGAACATATTTGCGAATTCAAAAGCTTCACCGGAAAACAATTCCACAACACCACAACACTCCACGTTAAATAATTCCATCCATTCTCCATCTCTATTACAGCAAGATTGTGTAACATTATCCACAACTAGGCAACCTAACCTACCCTCTTCACTAGCCACGTTACCATCCATGACACTCCATAATAATGCCATGATACCTCCTTCCCAATCCTCTCCTTCAGCAAGCAGCATGAACACTTCCGCAAATCATTCCATACCACCAGTTACAAACGACAACAGCACTAGTAGCAGCCCATCTTCTGTGAAGAAAATACTACCAACTTCCTTTCTATATGAAATTTATTTATTTTGGAGAAAAAAACGTTTATCGAGAACTGTTTCTAGCACAGACAAGATGCTTTATCCAACATGTGGTAGGCCGTTAATTTTGGATTTTGAAAAGCAAACAAGCATTCATGACAAAAACCATCATGCAGCATTTAGGCCAAGACAGCTCCCGAAAAAACAAACAGAGGAAATTCTAAATGATACATCATCTCTACAACGACTTCGAAAGCTGAGAAAAGACCTAATTTCACTCAACACACTCATGGAAATGATCAACACAAGAGAAGAAAAGAAACTTGAATATGTGACATTGTTACAAGAAATTTTATTGAACAAACTTGGACCCTCTACAGCGAATGGTTGTCCAATAGAACCAATTACCTCGAGCGAGCAAAATCTCTCCATTGTGACATCTCGTTCAATTCAAAACGATAATATGAAGCCAATGGATTCACTGGCGTCTAGTAATCATGCGAGCAAAAATATGGCTGATGAAAAATTATCTGCAACAGCTGCATCAAGCAACAACATGCCAATACATATCGAGGAGAGTAAAAAGGTATTGCATCAACAGGAAAGCACGTGCCATCATAACAATCAAGAAATGGAAAATACTATTGAATATAATCCCATGTCTGAGAGTGTTTGGAAGCAACAACACAAACAGGACGATCAAACTGGTTACACGAGTATGAATTTGCTTCACTTTAAGGAAATTCTGAAAAAACACAACAGACCTTTCTTTCCATTTCTTGCCAAATATGTACGAAAAGTTAGAAATTTTACAGGAGATGACTCTATTGAGGAGCAATTTAATACAGACCTACCTAGCTATGTGCCAGGTAGCGAGTACAAGGTGCAATTAACTCGTGATGGAGTCACGTTTGATTTTCCAAACATGCAAGAAGCATTCAGCGCCCAACATGAAATTGCCTTCAACCATAAGATTGACAATCTGCTTGCAGACGAAGTTGCACAATACAAACACAGACAAGAACAAGTAGAAAATGGAAACTGTAGCAGTGGTGACATGCTCATACAAATACTAGACGAAGCCGAAGAAAATGCAACCTGTCAAAAATATACGGACATTCCTGAAGTTCAATTGAGCGAATTCGAAGAACGAATCAACGATACCATAGATCATACAAATGAATTTTCACATCTCACCAACGATCCTTTCCAACCACACGTGAATGATTTTATGGATTTTCAAGAGTAGTTATTAAATTGGTTTTTGATGACAGTAGGTAGTAGCAAAAAACCAGACTGCCGCTCGAATTTTCTTGGTCTCGAAAGCATCAAACCCTTTCAAAAAAATATGATTCTTCATCATCATGAAGGCACAGTTCGATTCATTTCCGTCGCCGCGAATAACCATCACGAAATCTTCGGGCTCATCCTCCAATGTGTTCGGCGATCCGTTGAAGGAGCTGAATAATAATGAAGATGTTTTTAATTTATTCCGAAAACCACAAGAAAGTCATCATGCCACAGCATCGCTCAATAAGCATTCGTTAGTTGCAACAAATGCTCTCGGCCATGTCGTCGAGTTGGAAGTACCAACAACATTTTCTCGTAGTTCATCTCTTTCGAGCCTTATAGATGATTCAGATTCGGAGGACGTGCTGTCCAATTCAAAACAACCCATGAAACAATCATCCAACAATTTATTAGGGGAACATTATCCTTACAACAATATGAAGGCCAGCAGTGAAAGTATATGTTTGCACAACACTGTTGAGGATGATATTTCACCTCAAATCAAAGAATCAAAGCCACACGACAGAATTCTCAAAGAATTGCTGTTAAATGAATTTGGAATGGCGGAGAGCTCAGCATGGACAACAACGAGTACAACAGTAACTTCATCATCCACTCAAAACATGAATCAATGTTGTAAATCATCACCGTTTGGAGTTTCAAACACACATGATGTCACAACAACTGTTCATCCGACAGCAACAACACAAACCAAGCATGACCACATTTCCAAAAATTTAAAAACCACCTGTGCAGCTACAAAAGTATCATCTGTATCGCATCAAAAAAACAATTCAACAACTGTACGACCCAAAGTGAATTCTAACAATGGTGCAAAGATGCCAACAACACGACATGATTCTACTTCCCTTAAAAAAACATCTCCCCCCACAAAACCAGAAAATCCAAAAAATTCCAAAGTAGATCCTCTAATTTTGAATCTCGAAAAAGCAATGAATACTCTCTATGTCAAACCTCAAACTCATCCTACACAAACCGTAACTTCTAGTACAATGATTGTGGTCACACCTGAAGCTATGGGAGATTCGCCGTCTCCCTTTGCAGAACAGCCTTCCACGCCAACAAAATCCTCACCATTGTCACTCCTTAATAATGGTGACTCATCTCAACCACATACTCTTAAAAAACCATCCCTAAGCATCAAAATTGAATCTCCAAGTCATGTAAATACCAAATCGAAAAACAAGTTAGTGAAATATGAGGGTACAAGAATTTATCAAGGAAAAAATCAACCCTCCAACCATACGAACATGAATTGTGTCTCAAATGGTGGTACACCACAGTTCACTATTCCTCCATCATCGCAAAAATCTCAACAACAACAAAAAACTCTGAAAGCTCAAACAATCACCTCCAATAATTGTACACCTTCGAGCACTGTAACAATCACAACTAACAACAATGAAGGAGAACAGCATCCTCCTCAAAACTCAAAATCTCTTCAGCCATCCTCAACAACTAGTCACAGCGGAAACAATCATCAAAAACTTTGCATTTGGGAGCGAATCAAACAAGGAAGTAATGCAATACAAAAGAGAATTGACACCATGAAGACGTCACTTCAACGAGGTGGAAGTCAGCTCTCTCTTACCACCATGTTAGCTCCTACTTTAAGCGCGACCAATGGATCATCCAAACTCAATCTGCTCTCAGATTTGAAACGAATGGGATCAAAACGAGAGTTGTCAACACCGAAACCAAAAATTCCCAATGACATTTTTAATCCTTCCTCAATACTTTTCAAAATTCATGATTTAATTCAAAACAGGTTACTGAGAGAACGCGAGAATAAAATCACAGACAAGGTCAAGTGGCGTCTCAAGAAGAAATTTAAACGACTCATTGCTCAGCAACAAGCTGAAAAAGAAAAGAAAGATCGACAATTACATGGAATTTATGAACACAGAAAAAGATTGACTCGTTTTCAAATGCAAGCAGTTTTAAACACAGTGGACCCACTTCGGTTAATTCCTCAACAAACTGACGATCAAGAGGGACATTATCAAAAACAACATTCAGCAACTTCCAACCATTCTCTAAAATCGAACAATGGTGGCACATCATCCAATGAAAATAGTGCGCGTAACTCTATTAATTCATATTCAAACGTGTCGTCGAATAACACGGTAGATTATCATGAAAAAAATCGAGAAGAAATTATGAAACAACAGAAAATATTAGAACAGTTGGAATCTGAACTTTTTCAACAAGATCACAACTCAAGGAAGGTGAAATTTGGAGATGAAAAATCGACGTCAAGCACCAACAATTCCAGCACATTGTCATCAATGAATGAAAAATCAGTGGACTCTCAAAAATTGATGAATACTAACCACCACCAGGAACAACATCTGGATCATACGAGTACCAGTATTGCAATTCGAAATAGAACTTCCAGCTATCATCCTTCATCGTCTCAGAGGCCACATTCCGCACCTTTGAGAGGAGGCATTGCCGTGAATCATGAAAAAAAGAATGCACACGCTCTTCAAGACTTGATGATTGAAAAGGAAGTCTCTAAAAGAAAGATGAATGCATCCATGTCGAGTTCTACCAAAGTGTCGACCTCGAAAAACTCTACGGCTCTCTCCAAAACGTTTTCAGAGACTAAATTGAAATTATTTAATCCGTATGCACCAAAAGTGCCGCTGAGGGATGGCTACCATGACTCAAATGCGACCATGTCAGCACAAGATGATAAGACAAAGAATAAGGGCAATACTTTGGTGATTGAATTTCAAAAAATGGTTCTTCAAGAAAATGAGTTGAAACAAGGAGGGCTAAATCACAGTTCTGTGACAGAAGTTGAAGAAGGTCCAACCACTGATTTGTACGATTTCAGTAGTGTGAATCCATTTGATGCTGTTAAAAACATGAACATTGCCTCCAAGACACAACACGTACCTGCAGCAGAGATACTGGCACGAACGAGTGCAGACACTGACAAGAAGAAAGCCAGTGCAGCTCAGCAAACGCGACGAAAACGGTTAAAAATCAAACCTCCTTTGGATACTGGTCTTAAAGTTAAGGAAAAACGAGAGGCTGTGTTGACCATGGGAATTGTGTGTGATATTGGCAAGTTCACACTTTAGAGATTGTCATGATAATAAATTGCAACTTTAGCAAACCCTAGTAGAAGCAGATAGACGTTTTGAATTGGAGAGTTTTATGTTTCCAATTATTTAAAATTACATAATTTCTACACTAATTCGAGGTGTGGTTCCCATTTTCCTCAGAAATCTTTAGCAATGATAGCAATAATTCTCTTTCAGTCATGTAAGAATCTAACACACTTTCGTTTTGAATAAGCTCAAGATCTCGTTGTCGTGCAGCATCTCGCAGCACATCCATAACCTCCAAAAGTCTTGATTTTAACACAATGTTTTGATTTAAAAGCTTGGAATTTAAAGCTTGTAACGTTTGATTTTCTTTTTTCATTAATTCTGTCATGGTATTATTTTCCCGCTTGAGTTCTTCCATTTTGTCGTGAGATCTTGAAAGTATTAATTTGATAGCTGACTCGTAATTGGTAATTTTTACAGATTGAATTCTATTAATTTCTTTTTGTGTTGCAAGTTGTTCCTTCAAGGACTCAGTTGAATCTTCATCATGGAGCGAGGACTCATGCGCAAGCGGTTTTGAAACTGGCTCAATGATATAGGTACTAGAAGCCACTCGTTTTTGGAGTGTTTCTATTTGATGTTGTAACTCTTGAATTCTCAGTTTTAAAGTCGCATTTTCTTCGTTTTTCAACGTTAACTCTGATTGCAGCTCTGAAAATATCGTAGTGTCATGAAGTGATGACGAAGAGACATCGGCAGAGACATTCTTTAGGAACGAACGTTGTTCAAGTGCTGAAGTTGCAATACTATTATTAACGGCAGTCGAAGATGTTGTGTTCGTCATGACCGATGACATTACCGATGGAATTGTTGCTGATGATGAGTTTAGCTGAGTAGCCGCGGCGTTGTTCACAACTTGATCTTCATGAACTCCACTTGTCACCTCCTCAAGTGTGAGAGATTCTTGTTTTTGCTGATCTTCACCATACTGCCTCTCGAGAATACGTTGACTGTGGACAGAAGCTGAGTCCAACTGTAATTGCTGAGTCTCTGATATTTTCCGAATACTATCCTGTGTTTGTTTTAATTGATGATACAATTGATGAATACTCATGGAGAGGCCATCAAATACTTGATTCACTTGTTCATATTCTTTACTTGTGTAGTGAGAGGATGATGAGGGTGTACCACTTGTTGTTGAAGAAAAGGTATTAATTTGATTATTATTATTTTGCACATGATGATTCGTGTTTGTAGAAATTGATGAACTCAATGATGGTGGAGACACTCCAAGAGAAATCATTGTATTATTCGTTACAGGAGGCTGAGATACTTTCCGAGAAGGAGTAGCAGTAGAGGCTGTTGATAAATTTCTACCAACATTTAAAGCACTCGTGGAAGCAGATCCGTAAGGTCCCGTAGTGGCATTCATGATGGTATTCGCTCCAATGGTGGAAGACCTCTGCAATGATGATCCCGAAGAAACCGATGATGATGGTGTAGAGTTGTTATTCGGCAGTTGAGTCAAAGGCATGGAGGATTGAATTTTTAAAATAAAATAAATCAATTTAAAAAATATTTCATCATCCAGTGAATCGCTTTCCATGAACAATTCAGCCTAAGCATCGACTTCTTGGTTTTTGCTCATCATCATGTGTTGTTAATTCTCAATAATGGTTAACAGTGGTTGAGTTGTTAGAATTAGAAGGTTCATCATTACATCATCATGGCCAATTCATCGTGTCAGTCGTCCGAGCTAGTAACGGAGTTTCATGAGAATTTACCGAATCTTCTAATTCCACCATGTCATTACCCGATTGTGTGAGAAAAGGAATGCAATCACGCTTCCAATTGCTTGTATCTTTGTAACCAAGTTGAATGTAAAATTCTACCAAGTTCAGCCACGCGTTTTGACTCAAAAGGCAACTTATGGCTTTGCGCTCTTAGCTCAACAGCAACAAAAAAATGTCGCCATCGTGTGAACCTGTGGTTCTTGCCACAACGCAGAAGAAGCACGGTTCCCATTCACATGTGAAAGGAATGAACAAGCTCTTGTTAAAATTCCTAATGATAGTAGCATGTTGTGTGTTGCAAATTGTTATCATTCCATGCACTACGACACATGCTTTGACTCTTGAAGACCGATTTGCTCTTAGTCTAGCCTCCATTCAAGCCATTCATGATAAATTCTTTCAAGGTACAAAAGGGAGTGCCTCCACAGCCATCATCTTTCGTAATGAAACATTGGGAGAGATTTTTGCAGGACAAGCCTTTGAGAATGTTCCAAACGTGAAACCCACAAGAGATACCAAGTACAGAATTGCATCGGTCACTAAAACTTTTGTATCGGCTGCCATGATGGTACTGAGGGATGAAGGTCGTTTGGATTTGGATCAATCTGTTTTGGATTTTGTACCCGAGTTTAAAGCCTTTCCGAATCCATTGGGTTTCTCCTCGAATATGACATTCCGACAATTAAGCTCTTACATGTCGGGATTGCCACGAGAAGCTCCTTGTGTGCTGTTTGATTGCGACTTTTCAAATGCGCAAATGATTGATCGTATTAAGAAGAATGGCTTGTTTCTAGTGAGGGATGGAGATCATTTCCCAATCTATTCCAATTTAGGATATTCGTTGTTGGGACATGGTTTGGAAAGTGCAGCAGCCATGCAGTTCGAGCAAGTCATTGCAACTCGAATTTTGGATCGTCTCGGAATGAAGAATACTGGTTTTGTAACCAAAGATAATTTGAATACGTTACAACTTGCTACGGGCTATCATCACAACACTCCCATCTATAGCAATAACAGAACCATTTCATGGAATCAACCAGCAGCAGGCATGTACAGCTCTTTGGGAGATTTACAGCTCTATGTGAAAAATTTATTGGCAGCCTTTGTTCAGAGTGCTGACACATTTCCACAAACCAGCATCTTGAAAAAACAAACCATGAGAGAATTTTTGAGCGCCCAACACATTCTTTCACATGGAACAGCTGCAGTTGGATTGAGTTGGGAGATGGTATTTTACAACATGTTCTCAAGTTGGGCCATTATGAAGAGCGGTCTCATTGGTGGTTACAATGCTCAAATTGTGCTATTGCCAAAATATGAAATGGCCGTGATTACATTACTCTCCAAGGATGACGGAGCTCAAGCTTTGGCTCTGCAATCGGCCATGACCATTGTTGCATCTGTTAGCGACTATTTGGATTCATTGAGAATGAAGGACTTGTCAGAGAAAACATCCTCTCTCGTTCCAAACGTTGTGCCATTTGTTGGAAATTACAAGACTGAGAAACAATCCGCTGCATCGATTGCCTTACATAATACATCCACAACACAAGTATTGAAATTGAAAAATGTATTGGGAACAGAATTGTCATCAACATTCTTAATGCCCACACCAAGTAACGGTGCAAGTTCTTTTATCGTACAGGCACATGCTGTCCCCACAAGGTTGCAATACGAAACAGGAATTGGAGGAAGTAGAATTGAATTTTCACAAGATTTCCAGAATTTCACAGCACTTGACCTGGGTGTACAATTCATGAACAAGTCATCGGGTTCCAACGTGGCACGTCGACCTGTATCTCTCAGATCCACACAAAATATTCCTGTCGTGTGCAATTTCATTCCAAAAGACGTTGCCTTAAAGACTCCAATTGCAGATTCATCAATTTTGAATTTATTCGAACAGCTGAAACAAGAAATTTCCGCTTTAATGAAACAGCAAAACTCTTCAGCTTTTTTAAAAATCACCTACAGAGGTCAAGCTGTGTATGATGCTGCTTTTGGTGATTCAAGTATTTCACAACATTCCATCTTTAGAATTGGAACCTTGACACAACTTTTTACTGCTGCAGCCACTCTCATTGCCAAAGAAAAAGGAATTATTAGTTCTTTGGACGATCCTGTGAATCGCTACGTCTCTGGAATTACCTTCCAAGAAGTCATTTCAAATAGTAACATGTTCTCGAATAACATGACATTTAGACAACTCATGCAGCATGCTTCAGGCTTACCCTCCGGAATTCCATGTGACTTGTTAAATTGTAATATGAATTGGAATACTTATCTGCAAGAGGCTCTTTCAAAATTTAGAATGATTCAGCCATCCTATAATTCTAGAACTGTTTCTACACTAGGTTATGCCATTCTTGGAAATGTCTTGTCTCAAGTGACAGGCACATCGCTTGAAAACTTTATCAAGACCAATATTTTGAATCCTCTTGGAATGTCCAATACTGGCTTCACGTACACGACAAGTGTTAAAAATCAACTTGTTTTAGGACGTGACCTGAAGGGTCAATTATTGAGTAGTGAGGTTGACAATTTGTACATTCAAGAAGCCTCTGCCCAAATGTACTCGACTGCAAGTGACATGTCCATCTTTTTAAATTGTCTCTCGAGTCTCAATCGAGAATGTCCAATTTTGAAGAGGGAACGCTCTCGATCCTTGCTCCTCCGTAATTACCTATCTGATGATTTTTCTATGAGCACAGGATTGGGCTCATGGCAACACGAATTTAATGCAGGTTTCTGGATTGCTTCCAAATATGGAACTATTAAGGGATACAATTCCTATGCTGGAGTGAATGATGAAATTGATTTAGCCATCACATTGCTCACATCTACCGAGTATCCAGTAGCCAATGAGTTGGTCAGAAACAAGACTCTCATTCCACAACTAGTCTCTACTTTCACTTCTGTTCTCAAGCAGCAACCTTCGTACTTGATGGCAAATCTTTCCATTCCAAACTCTCTCGCCTTGATTCAAGACATGGTTGGTGTCTATCAAGTATTTGATCAGTTCTTGTTATTCACTCAATATCTCCAGATTGAGTATGACACAACGAATGGATTGTTGACATTTGCGTTTGTTGAAAATGCTACACCTGGTCCATCGAATAGTCCTCCTACTTTTGCTTTGCAAATGATGGATCAAACTAGCATGACGTTCAAGGTGACGACATTGGGATCGTTGTCATGTATGGGTAATGTTTTGACAGGCATTGAAGGCGCCGTTGTTAAATTTAATATGGCCAACGGCAAAGTAGAATCTTTTTCCATGCCTTCGCTCAATTATGGCAGTGATTTCATCAAGATTAAGGCAAGACCATCTACAAGCAGAACAATTTCAGGTGCATTTGTACACAGAGGAATGAGTTGTGCTTCATTATTACTTGTGCTTGTATTGGTGATAGGAATGATATTGCATGTAACAAATTAACTGAAATAAAGAATTGACTGATCTTGAATTTTAAAGTAATGTAAAGGTACAATTTTGAACATTGCCTGTGGCTGCTGACTTGACCTTTTCAAGAATTTCTTCCTTAATCGTTTCTTGTTCCTTCACTTGGAATGAAATAATTCCCAAGAATTTTCCAAGTGTGTTGGAATGGCCAGCGAAAATACCTCTTTGCATGGCTCTAATATTTTCTCCTGCATAGGATGCAACCAAGAATTTGTACAAGGAAATTCCCTTCGATTCCTTAGATAATACTCTCATGACAATGTGATACATGGTGTCAGGTGTCAACAAGGGTAATACTTCATCAAAACTCTTGCATCGAGTGAGGAATCGATATTTTGAGTTGTCTTCTGGATCTTGGTGAAGAATAATATAATTAGTAGCTCTTTGTCTTGAATTTTTCAATTTGTCATACTCAGAAATTGAGTGATCGTCTTCATCCTTCTCCTCAGTTGTTTTTCGTGATCGTGGTGTCAAGCTTGGAGTCAATGAGGACGATTCCAAATTATCGTCATCATCATCAATAAAATCATCACATCTAAACATGTCATAGGCATTAAGGAAATTATAGTCCACATTCACACCTTCGAATTTTTGAAATTTCACACCCTCCTTATCTTCGGTTGCAGTGGATTTGGCCAATAAATCTTCCATAATTCTACTCATCTTGGGTTTCTCTTCTTGCTGTTGTTCTTTGGCATTTCGTTCTTCCTCCTTTCGTTTACGTTCTTCTTCAGCTTCTTGTTCACGTTTCCTTCTCTCTTGTTCTTGTCTCAGTTTCTCGTCTTCCCTTCGTTTTCTCTCTTCTTCTTCCCTTCTCTTTCTTTCTTGTTCTTCTCTCAGCTTCTCTTCTTCTTTTCGCTTGCGTTCTTCTTCTTCCTTTCGTTTACGATCCTCTTCTTGTCGTTTTTGCTGCTCTTCCCACTGAACTCTTCTCTTTTCTTCCTCCTCTCTTCGTTTACGTTCTTCCTCTTCTCTTTGTTTTAACAATTCACGGTCCATGTTGATAGTTTTAACCAAGCTTGCTAACTCTTGTTCGAGTTTGTTAATTCTTTGTACACTTGCATTCATGCTTGAATTGTGATTTTCTTGAAGTTTCTGAATTTCTGCTTGATGTTTCTTTTCCATTTCTTGCAATTGTTGTGAAAGTAATTTTTCAATTTCACTCTTCGATTTGTCAGTTTGTTCTTTTAATTTCTGGTCCACTGCAGAGAGATCAACCACAGGAGAGGACACGGTATTCACCATCTCCACTGAATGGTTCGTCTTTGTCTTTTCTGATTGAGCTGTTGTTGGCTTTTCCGTTCCTTCTGCCATCATGAGTGACTTGATTGGAACATTCCAAAAGGCAGCATCTTCAAACAATTGATTCTTTTGTAATGTAAAGAACCATGTATTGTAAATAAATCCATAAAAACCTCCTCCAGAAATTGACAATGCCAAAGAAATGATTAAACAACACACTTGATAACCCCATTGAGTCAAATATTTGGTAGAGAATAATTCATTCACTGTTTGTCCATAAATTAAATTCGATGGATTTGCATTCTGATTTCCAACTGCAATAATACTGACAATTCCTCCATAAATGCCAATAATTCCATGAGTCGAATGAATATCACAAGAATCATGCAATTTAAGCCATTTCAAAAGCGGTGCAATAAAAATGGCGCTGAAACAACTCAAACATCCTGCAACAAGTCCAATGGTGAGAGCACCACCAGGTGACACTAGAATACTTTGACAAGATGCCATAGCAATGCCACCTGCCAATGTGGCTCTTTGAACGTCTCTCATTGTGAATTTTCCTCGAATGGCACGTGACAGTCCAAAATGTGCACAACAACTTCCAGCCATGGCAATGATGGTTGTGATTTGAGATCTAAATTGCTGCAAATTGTTGGTTGGAACTAGTGCACTATTAAATGAAGGCCACAATACCCACAACAAAACAGTTCCAATCATTCCAAATAAATCATTCTCTTTGGAAGTTGTTTCAGAAAAATCATTTGGTACATGTGGAACTGTTTTATAAAGTCCCCAACTTGCACTCAATCCAAAATAGGCTCCGAATAAGTGAATGAACATGGAACCTCCATAATCAACAGCTCCCAACACCAAAATGCACACAAAATAATTCAAACTGTAAATGAAAATGTGTGAAAAAGCCATGGTTACAAGTTGAAGAGGAGTGACCTTTCCAATGACAACACCACAAGCAATGAGTACTGAAAAGGCTCCATAAAATCCATGAACCATCCATCTCATGTCCAAATAGATGATTGTATTGAACACTTGAGTATTGTTATTGGAAACCAATTGTGAATATTCATAAATCTTGTACCAAAAGGCCTGAGAAAGAATTGAAAATTGAAAACTGAAGGCTGTCAATAGAAAACCCATTCCTAATCCTTGATAACTATTCGATCGGAAGCATGTCATGAGAAAACCTAGACCACAGAGAACCATCAAGGAGACATCAATCATGGTCTTGTAATCTCCTTGAATATTGAAATATGAATTTCCACTGATTGGAAATTCGAAAAAGATCCAAAACAAACTAATTGCATATAATTGAAATAGAACCATGAATGTGACAAATGCTGTCTTTTCACCATTCCATTCTCGACTCGCCAATAGCGATGAAATTTTAGATTTGAGAGTTGCTCTTCGGGATATCTTCTGGTTTCCAGTCGTATTGATGTTGGTCTTTAACTGGTCATCATCATCATTTGATTTTTTAAATTTCTTGACCACAATGTAAATGAAACTCGCACCAAGCAATAATAAATAACAAGCTGTAAACACGGACGAGATGACAATTCCAGAGAGTAATCGGTTGTAGTTGCTCTCGGCAAGTGTGTAGCCGTTGATGGTAATGTTGGTGGCGTTGAAACTCATGATGTGTTTTTTGTGTGAAATTATTGACGTGTTGATTCAATTCAAGATTGGGCAGAGCCAAAACGGAAAAGGAAAGTGGTCGAAACGAAAAAAGCTCAATGAACTTGTCACCCTTCGTTTTCATGTGTTTCATGATGACGTTGTTCAATAAAGTAGTTGCTGCTGTATGTATCACAACAAAATCCAAGTACTAAAAACAACATACAGAGATGACAACTTTCCATTGAAAAAAATGGATAAACAATTCAATCAGGATTTATGGAGTGAGATTTTTTCATTCCTCACTCCGTTAGATATTGTTGCAAGTATTTCTGGAGTTTGCAGTGGAATGAATTCACTTTCGGAGCAGTGTGTAGTAAAAAAGAACTTGTCAAAGAGTAAAATAACGATAGATGATGATGTCTTGGATCAGTCTTCTTATGTAAATTATGTAAACTTATTGATCAATAATAATAACAGGATCATAATAATCAACAAATCCGATGATGAAAAATTTTGTACTTTTAATGAACATCAGTACATTCCGATAATGAAAAACATCAAATATTTTGTAAGATTGTACTTGTTGAGCTTGACTTTAAAATTGAGTACTGGATCAGCATTATCCAATTTATCATGGGCTACTGAAACTCTGGACGCGACTAGTAGTAATGCTTGTCCTTTAGAAATTGAGTTATTTCAATTTTACTTATCAAGAATCAGATTTGTTTTGATAACAAGCCAGAGCGGTCATCACCGGAGATGAACTCACAATTCCTTTATCAAACTTCTGAGCCTTCTGTTCGTGATGTTGTGAAAGGTACATTATTTGGAGATGCTGGCGTGGGTAAAACAATCTATCACACTGCAATGATGAAGGAAAAATACATTCACAGGCGTGGTTATACTAATTCAATTACTATTGATTTACTATTCAAGGAAGTGATATTGTTTAATGAGAAATATAAATTACAATTGTGGGATTTGGTTGGCGCGAGATTTAGAAAAATCGAAAGAATTCATGTAAAGAATTGCAATTTTGCGTTTTATTGCTTCTCAATTATAGATCGAGACTCATTAGAGAATATTTGTTTCTACATTGTAAACAACAACAAGAGTTTGGAATTAATTGGAGGAAAACTAATGGTTTCCATCCCTCGTATAAGGAGAATTACACAAGACAAGTCAGCGTTGAGGAAGCATTCGAGTTTGCGAGGATACAGTTAAATGGAGCAATTTATTTTGAAGTGAATTGTCGAGCTGAAGTAAAGATCGGATTTGCTCCAATGTGGTAAATGGTGTTGGAGAGCATGCTATGTGATGCTTCAAAATTGATACCAAATCAATCAGATAATGAGAATGGGTTTGGTTTTACAGCCACTCTTGTTTATTGATATACAAGATGAAGTATTATAGACTGAAATTTCTTTCTCCACAATGTTTGGGGGATCGATGTCATCTATGTCTTGGAATTGTTATTTTTTGCATCTGTGAAGTAATTATTGAGAAATATCAACTTGAAATAATGTTTAGGTTTTGGACAATCTAAAAATATCATTAGACTTGATTTAGAGGCAAGATGGCCAACGCAAGCGCATCATTTATTGAATAAATTTATTGATATCGGCTCGGAGAGACGATAACAATACATATTGCTATTTGGAACATCATCATTACGTTTCTATTGCAATAAATTATTGTGATGGCCGTCAGGATATCACAATTGATTGTAAAATTACGAAAACACACAATATTCGTGGCTCGGAAAAAGAGAAATCGCAACGCTAAACCAGCATCATCTTCAAACGATACATCATCCACCTCAACAACAGCACTCAAAAACAACTGAAAATGGTGGTTACGGATGTAGACTGTTTCATTCACTTGCAAAGTGCTGTCAGGCAGCTGCAACGTATTTATTGAAGTGAAGAAGCCTAGGGACAACTGGTTGCACCAACTGTGTTGATTGGGTTTGGAAAGAGGCATTCCGCGATTTTCTCAATAACCAGACATAATCACACTATTTCTTCAAAAGAGACCCCCTAGTCGTTTGAGTTTATCTATCTTTTGATGGTATTCACTTGCTCTAACTCGTTGTGGTTCTTGAGATATGAACTCTTAAACTACAGGCGTTTTTCTTCATCGGTGATAGAGTGGTCAGAAAACCACCATCGTTGGGACATGAGATATTTGCATTCAGTGGTGACTATTGATCATTAAATATTTCAATTCTGTGAAGTAGTTATTGAGATTATAGACCTTAAAGTTGTGATAGTAATAAAACCTTAGTTGATGATTTTTATTAGGGATTTTGAGATGGTTCAAGGACTAGCATCTTATTTCTCGGATTTAAGGAGATAGACCTTCCTAAAGTTTTAAAGATTCATGAATATTTTTGACTTTTAAAAATTTTTTAAAAATATTTTTAGCTTTCATGTCAATGTCAGTCTCTGGTGTGACTATTTGAATAAATTAAATTGATATTGGCTCGAAGAGACAATGTCAATCAATGTTTCTGTTTGATATCATTACATCTCTATTGCAATAAATTATATTGTGATGGCCGTCAGGCTATCACAATTGATTATTAAATTACGCAACATCACTGTTTAGACTATCGGAAGCTCACATCACTCAACCATACAAGGCTCTTTGACACATGTTTTGAAAGTAAACTTTCATTTATTTCACATTTTGACATGTGGTCAAAATATTATAGCAATTAAAAGCTGTAGAGGCTCATAGAGATGAAATGAGGATTGACATTATAGAGAAGAGTTGTAGCTGATGAGACTCTCTTATATGAATGTATTGTGCTTTACGTCACCTCTAAGAGGTGGTGTAAACAGAGTATACAAATCGGTTGAATGTCGACAAATCGGTTGAACGTCACTCCAGCGGTGGCAATATCCTCGTTTAAAGTAAATTAATTAAAAAAAATGATAACATCAGAAGAGAGGGATTATTATCTTTCCCAAAGCATATAGGTGACCGCCTTGACTTGTAATCTTAATTTTTCGACATGCTTAATGATGGGATTTTTAATTTTTATGAAATCGTCGGGGATGGAGGTATATCTATGTGTTGATATGACTTTCATCCATTAATTATGGGTAATTATTGAACTGTACTCGCTTAAAATAGACCTCTCGTGCATGGTCGGGGTTTTCGTCATCTTTGATGTTGAGCTTGATCCAAGCATTTCATTCGATAGATTTTGAAGAGTAGAACATTCGTACTAGCGACATCATTGGATAGTGAGCTAATTTGGTTGAGTAGTTCAACAAATGGTAACAGGTGTCAAATTTTTGATAGAATTTAAGCGACACCTTTTTTGTAGATCTTACGAAAATAATGGGGGTCATGATAGAGCGTTCGATCAGGTTTAGGGTAGTTTTCGAGAAAATCAAGTTTAAAGGAGTTTCAACGAGGTCAAAAATGACATGAAAATTTTTCAAAAAAAAATTAAAAAAAAATGAAGCCAAACTTCCCTGCATTTTTGAGGTGATCATCATCAACATCGGGTCATGTTTCCATTCATCATCATGACATATTCATATTGATCACATCAAATGTGCACATCATGATCAACATTTATGAGGAATATTTTGTGTGTATGAATACACATGGAAATGATAATCATCAAATAGTACTGGTTGGAATGGTAGTGAACTGCTCCCATTGGATGTGATGATCATGGAATGAATCTGATGATCGGAATGTTGTTACAGTGATCAGAAACCATGGAATTGATCGTTGGTTCAGTTCAAACTGATGGTCATTTCATGACTTTGTGTGATGTGAAGTGCGATGGTGGCTCTATGGAAGAGCTGAAAAGTACGATCGAGACAAGCACTTCACATATCTTCATGAAATTGTTACACATGGTTGTTCTGATCATTCAAACAACAAATCATCAGTTTTATTGATTGACATGATTGTTTCATAGAATGGGAGCACTTCGATTTTATCGGAAAACATCATTTCTTGAGAAAGGGTACAGCTCTCCTCTCTTGTTCATGTCATTCATTCTATCATCATGACACGTTGTGATGATCATTGTAGAAGTGTTTCATGTGATTGTGATTGGTTGAAAGTGATCATACTGAATTGTTGTTGGTGTATGTTTTTTATGATTTAATGATTATTTTATAACAATTGACTGATTCAGTTTTTCGATAAACCAATGATTGCAATGTTGTATAATACATTGTGAAGAGTATTTCTATGATAATTGATGATGGATGTGATCATTATTGGTGGAGTATCATGATGAATGTTGTGGTGGTGTAATACCATGTCCTTCCGAGAGTGAGTTTGTCATGAACAATACACATCAACATGTTCGTCATGGTGAGTGTGACATATCTATATTGGTTTCACTCACTGATTCAACAAGTTGTGGAAGTGGTGTCTCACTCTTTCAAGTTATTTTTCTTTTTCACATGATGTTACGATACTGAATAATTTCAAGAATATCACAGTGACTTTATATGATAGTATATTGTATG